TTATTCCTGTATTAACGTTAGTGTAGTTAGTATTAATAGTATTGATGTTTAAGAAGTTATTAGAGTCAAGGTTTCTAGAAGTGGTGAAAGGCTCAATGAGGTCATTGATCATGGACGCTCGGTTGTCTATTGTTGCCCCCCAAGGTGACGCTGAAGTGGCAAAAATTGTGTCCTTCTGGAGAATTTTTGAGGATCCTACATTATTGAAGTCCAAGATCCTTGGTTGCACAACTATGGGAGTAGTTCCTAGGAATTTATGAAATTTTGTTTTCATCCTCTGCACTTCTTTGTGTAGTGCTCTATTCTCCTCCTACTTTTGGGTCACCTGTTGCATCATTTTCCTCATCATAGCAAAAAGTTCTGCAGTAGTGATTAGGCAGTCGGATCCTAGAGCCTTGAGGATCCCAAACTTCCTAGATTAGCGATTGTTGGGATTCTTTTCTTGGAAGTGTCGGGCGTTTTCCTCTTAGTAAGGGGTCCACTAGAAGGAGGTGGTAGGCTTTTGGTTGGAATAGGAGGGGTAGAGGATGAATAGAATATCGGTTGTGTAGACATGATTTTTTCGAGGATTTTAAACACCATAGCCCCACGGTGGGCGTCATATTGTTTTGGTCAAAAATTACACAAGTACTAATCAACCAAATTGAATGAGAGGTTGTGATGTTTAGATTTTGTAATAGCAAGAAGTAAAATAAAATCTACACAATGGTTTACAAGGAAATCCCTTGATCCTTGCTAGGATCTCCGGCATAAAACCTTCGGAGGTGATAATGATCATCTGCCTTCATGATTTTATTGATATAAATCAAAGATTATAGTGAGTTCTTAATAAGAATGAATGTAGAAATTCACAGAGTAAGCTTAGACTAAGAATTTATGTGTTGTGTGCAGATTACAAGTGTTAATTTATAGTCTAATCTAGCCAACAAGATGTCTGATATTCCCGGGATCCTCTATGACTAGCTTTGTGAACGTTATTTGACCAAGTATTTCGAATCTTTAGCATTCTTGAGAATTGGTCTTACCTTGACTACTTTTGCACACGTGTTAGTTATAGAAAAATATGATTGTTATAAATATTAATAATAATAAAAAATAATAACGCTAATTAGACGGGATCCTGATGTTGTTGAGGATCCTGGATATTTGAGGATACTGGATATAGTAAGGATCCTGATCCTAACATGAATGTTGTATCCTCTTGGTCAGATGGTTTTATTTGGATTTGTTGGAACCATGTTGATGCATCCAAGAATGTTAGTAACTCATGACCAACTATGGCATCTATCATGGAATCTATGTGTTGTAAAGATAAGGATCCTTGGGAAAAGCCTTGTTGAGATCCGTATAATCCACATATTCTCTCCATTTTCCGTTCTTCTTTTTTACTACGACCACGTTGGCTATCCACCTTGGGAACTTCACTTCCTTGATCATTTTTGTTTTAAGAAGTTTTTCTACTTCCTCTTGTATGATATGGTTTCTCTCTGGTGCGAACTTCCTTCTTGTTTGGTGTACTTGTCTGAAAGAATGATCAGTATTAAGTTTATGGGTTATTATATTTTTTTTCTATACCTGTCATGTCCTCATGCTTCCAAGCAAATGTCTTGCTTCGATTTTCTGAAAGAACTTCCTTCTAATATAATAACCCATGCAAATGGGTTATTATATTAAGGCTAATCCTATGAGGGTCAAACCAAAACCCTTGCACATGCAAACTTCCTTGAGTATCGTCCTGTTTGTCTTCCTGATGTTGGGTCAATTGTCGTTCCAATCTCCTCATCATAGAAAATTGCTCATTGTTGGACATTGAAGCAGGAGGATCCTGGATCCTTGAGTAACAACTGAAGGAGTCCTTTTCTTCGGTGCATCGAAAGTCTTTGTAGGACCTACTGATGGAAGTGGTGGATATTTTTTAGAGGAAATGGTAGGAATGGAGGAGGAAGATATGGTTGGTTGTGTAGACATGATTTTATGAAAGGTTTTGAACACCACGGATCCACGGTAGATGCTAAATTGTTTTGGTCAAAATCAACTAAGTAGAATCTAACCAAATTGTATGAAAGGCCGTGATTTTCGTGGTGAATTAATTCTTGATAGGATCTCCGACATAAAAACTTGGGAGGTGATAATAATCACCTGCCTTGATGTTTTTATTGATATCAAAAAGTAGATTTACAGAGATGAATGTGTAAATGTAAGTACAACTATCATGGATAAGTTACGTGTATCCCTAATGTGCTATTTACATCTGTTATTTATAATCTAATGTTAATAACAAGAAGTCTGATAATTTCGGGATCCTCCAAAATCAGCATATGAACGTTATATGACTTGGTATTCGGGGCCTTTTACCTGGGTGAGATGACTCTCTGTTGAGAATGGGTCTTGTGTTGACTCGTTTTGCACATGTGAGAAAAATAAAGAAAATATAGATGTTACAAGTGTTAGAAGTATTAGTGGTAATAGTCAGGATCCTGAGATATGTTTAAGGACCCTAAGGCTTCATAAGTACTCGAGGATGTTGAATACGATTAAAAAATCCTTCCCCTAACAGTGCTTAACCAGATAATCATGAAGTGTTGCGAGATGGATTCATCCAAAAGAATCCATAGGGGTTATTTATAAACTTCATGAAGGTAGATAAGTGAAGAACTGTATTTTATTTCTCCAAGACAAGCACTATTACAATTTGAAAACACTTACTATAATGTTTACCAAAGTTGAGATTTGCAAGTCAAATTCAAAAGATAATCTTAAGTTCATCTCAAATATGCTTCGTTGGTGGATAATAGTTCGTATTGTGATTCTTGGATTGATACTTAAAGATTTTTATGAAGTGAAGTGAAGAAAGATTTTGCAAATCAACACAAAGGGGGAGATTGTTGGGATTTGTGGATTTGCTAGGTTGTGTTTGAGTTTAGATGCAAAATGAATTTCAGAGTTATTTATATTGTCTTCTTTTGTATATGTGAACAACTTAGTCTATGTTCGTATTTTTTTGTATACTTAGGATTCATAGTTTATGTTAGCTTAATTTGACAGATGTATGTACCTAGGTGGCCTAAACTCATTGGTCGGAGCCTAACGAACTCATTTGTACTCGTTATATAAGGGCAGTAAGTTAGTGGTAGAGCCTATGATTTGAAAGGTGACTTGCTTCATTCTAATCGTATACGTTTTACTCTATAAGTGAAAGTTCATATCTTATTACGTCTATGTGTCCATTTCATTATGCCATGTGTTTACTGATTTCATTCTTGTAGAAACTTTCAATCCTATCGTAATGATTTATGATGAATGTGGAATTGGAGATGGTCAAGGCAAATAAAAAAAAGGGAGAGAAAGCATAATCAAGTCTTTATTTTGAATAGGAATGTGGCTGACTTTCAGTTCAATTAGGGCTATGACAAGTAGCTTTGAAATGGAAAAGTATCTTATTAATGATCTGAATGTTGATAATAAGGATAAATTCAATGGGGTTAATTAGATTCTGATTAAACTAAACTGCTTTCCTTGGCATATGATGAAAATCATATTCATTTGTATACAAATCTCGTGAAGCGTGGGATAGTTGTTGATTCTACTTTGTGTCCTTTATGTTTGAGCTCCGATGAAAATATTCATCATATGTTTGAGTTGATATAAGAACATTGATTATTTTAAATTATATGATTAGGTACACCTCAATCAAAACAATATAATCCTAATCATCTCGATGGTACATGGGTTATTCATTGTTAAGATTAAATATGGATATGGTTTAATGTTATTTATAGTTGTTGCGATCAGTTATTTTGAAAAAAAAATTACTTAAAATTTTAATTTATATGATTGTAATTATGTAAAACGTCAAACATTATTTTTTCTTTTAAAGGTAACAATATTTTTTATATAATGTTACTTTTAAGTCTGTTGTAAGTTATTTTTCAACTATTTATTTGGAAACTCTTAATAATTATAAAAATATTTATCATTACAATTTAGGTATTGCATTTAACACAATAATTTATAACTTTTGTCTATTTACAAAATAACCTTTGGTTTTCCTTTTAAGTTTAGTTGAACTTTAGATTTAAGTTAATCCTTTAACGTTATACTTAAAGTAACAATTCAAACATTTTATACAAATGATTAAAATTTGTGACATTAAAATGTCAATGGTTTATATACAAAAGCATATTCAAACTAATAAGTTAAGTATAATGTATTAAAATTTAAATACATAAGATTATAAATAAAAGTAAAAGATGATATTTTAATATTGATGTTTATTTAATTTAAGATTACTGTTTTGGTTCTACGTTTATTTATAATATTAACCATGTTATAATCATTATCTGAAAATAATGAAAAATATAGGAGTTTTAAATGCATGCGGTGTAAGGAAATATACATATTTTTCAGTATAGATATAGATAGATAGATTACACACGATAATTTATAACATTTTATTATTTACAAAATAATTTTTGGATCCTCTTTTATATTTAATTAAAATTTTGATTTGATTTAACCATTTAACGTTATATTTAAATTAATAAGCATTTTATACAAATTATCAAAATTCATGATTTTAAAATGACAATGGTTTAGATAAAAAAAAACATACTCAAACTAATAATTTACATATAACATTTTAAAAGTTAAAGACATAAATTTATAAATAATAGTAAAATATAATATATTAATATTGAAGTTTAGTTAATTTAAAATAATAATTTAAGTTTTGTATTTATTTAACATTATTAACTAATTTAAAATCATTATTAAAAACTAATTTAAAATCATTATTAAAAAGGTATTGAAAAATTATCAAGTTTCAAATGTAACGAAAGAAAAAATATCTCTTGTATAAATATTGATAGATCATCTAACTGGCATGTCATACTTTACTATACATAAAAATGAAAATTAGTAATTAACTTAAATATTTTAATTACTATAATAAATATCGGGTCATAACAGGCATTGGATATTGAAGTAAAACTTCCTTTTCCCATTGCGCTGACGTCATCGTCTTCGCGTAATTACGTGTCATCATCTTCACGTAATTACCTCTGAACTCCATGGACGACTTTATATATATCCGACACTTCAATTACCTTCTATTCGTCGTGTCTTGTCTTTCAAAAGATAAAGTGGGAGCTAGAGAGGCGAAGAAAAACACATACACACTCCAAATCACCATCGAATTCACTGAAATGTCGAAGGTACAGATCTATTAATTCATTCAATTCGATTATGTGTTGCATGTATTTAAATTAATTAATAATACTTGTAAATGGTTGTTTTTGCAGAAAAAGATCGTTGTGAAGGTATCCATTTGCTGTGAAAAGCAAACTCGTAAGGCTCTCAAGATCGCCGTTGGTGTCTCCGGTAAGATCGTCTGTCATAATTTCTCTCTCATGATTTTCCTTTTCTACTTCTAACATTTTTCAATCCGAGAGGAAAACATTGACGAAATTCACTTTCGTAAATTAAATGTTAACATCGGACGAATATCGATTCCTGATTCAAAATCGATAGAAACTGGAATGGATTACTCTGTTTTGATTCGTTGAATTTAAACTGAATCATGGTCTGAAATTTGATAAACAGGGGTTGATTCAGCGTCCTTCATCGGTTCAGATAAAGACCAAATAGCGGTGATTGGAGAAGGTATTGACTCGGTCAAACTGACGACCTTGCTAAGGAAAGGAGTTGGACATACAGAACTAGTAAGTGTTGGTCCAGCGGAGGAGAAGAAAGAAGACAAAGAATCGAAGCCCAACGAGGTCACATTTCAGTTTCATCCTTACCAGTATTACTGTAATGGCTATTACATGCCATACTATATTTAAGAGAAGTAAGATTTCATGAACTGAAACCAATCTTTGCTCTCAAATTCATGTCTGTTGAATTAGCTTCATTTCATCTCTTTTCTCTTTCTTTTATTGAGGAATTCTGCATGTGATTATGGGATTCTTAATACTTCGTTTGTGACAGATTTGGCCATTTGGTGAGGATTTATATTACTTAAATTTATTCCTATTTCTTGTTTCATGTTTTGTTGTGTTAATAAATTTAGTTACAAGTTTATGCTTGATTTATTTGATGGTAGAGTGTCTAGGATAAAGAGGTACAATAGAATATAATAAAATATTGAGTAAAATAGTTTTTTCTGTGCTGGGTTTACATCTTGTTATGTCAAATCAAATTTTGTTATGTCAAATCAAATTTTTAGTTGAAACCAAAATGGTCAAATGGGCGAAAGTTGCACGAAATTTAATTTCAAGTATACAACAAATTTTTTGTTGTTAAATAATATGAAATATTGTTTATTTTTCTTAAAGAACAACAAAATATCATCTATGTTCATGACATAATTTCAACCATAGGTAAATCACTTCGATAAATATGGTTTGCGTGGCCCAGAATACTAATTGGTTAAGACGAAAAATGTTTTTAATTTATTCTTGTTCCGTATTAGTCTATTAGTTGTTATGTTTCTATCGATACTGAGTTGTCGTGTTTCTTATTAATTATTATTTCCGTTAATAAGTAATAATATAATAATGAAATTCACATGTAAAAAAAATCGCTATGTCTAACCTTTTTCTACTTTTATTCATTTGTATGTCACTCTTATTATACCGGGCTAATCACATAAAGTTCTTATTGTCTTTAATAATCAGAAAAAAGAAAAACTAAAATGGAATCTTTTTATTAAATTAATGGTTTTAATGAATCAAAAATACATAAAAATGTAAATTTTGAATTATTTTCACGAACTCTCAGTTTATTAAACCAAAAAAAAAAAAAAAAAACATTTATACGAAATTTAAAGGCTTTTATGTGATTATGATTGTTGTATTTGAATAATAATGGTGTAAGAAATAAAAAAGGGGTAATATGAAACCTTTATGTAAACAAAAGTTAGAAATTATGAGATATGCTCTACAACCTGACGTGTCTTCAGCCTATACAATCTCCGAAGTTAGTGACAGAGATCCTGAAATTTATCAAATTATTTATAAAATAAATAATGCGAAGCTTCCTTTCCCACGACGTTGACCTTGTCGTCTTCCTCCTCTGTGAATTCCACGAACACTATAAAACTGCTCACAGAAGTTTCACTCTCCACACATCTTCTGTAAAACCTCTTATTCTCCGATTTACTAGATCCAAAACAGATACACTCATTACAGGCAAAGTTCACAGAAATGGCAAAGGTAGATAGCTTTTTACTCATTTAATTCAATTCTGTTTTGCATACATTCGAATCAGTTAATCTCAATTTGTGTAAATGATTGTTTTCGCAGCAAAAGATTGTGGTGAAGGTGACAATGAACACCGAGAAGAAAATTCGTAAGGCTCTGAAAATCGCCGTTAGTCTCTCCGGTAAGATCATGTTTCATGATTGATTTTCATCTTCGCAACTTTCACTGGATTCTCGGTTCCAGACAAATCGCTTGATTTCAATTTCGTAACCTAAATGTTAACCTCAATTGGAATTGTGGGTTTTATACCTGATTATTGTTAACCTCAATTGGAACTGATTCAATTACTTGACTAAATCATGATCTGAAAATTGATGAACGGGTGTGGAATCGGCATCTTTCGTTGCATCAGATAAAACCCAAATCGCTGTAACAGGGGAAGATGTTGACTCAGTTGAACTGACGACCTTGCTACGGAAAGGTGTCGGATACACAGAGCTACTGAGTGTTGGTCCGGTGGAGGAGAAGAAACCAGCCGCCGCAAAAGAATCAAATCCCGCGGTGGCGTCACTAAATGTTAATCCGTACCAATACTACTACGGCAGCTACGGGATGCCCTACTATGTCTATGAGATTTGAGATGTCATCCTCAGAAACAGAGTCTAAAGAAATTAGTTTTATATTGATGCTTTATTAGTTTAATATCATCCCATTCAATTTTTTTAGAGGGGAATTTCGTGTTGAATAAAATGAGAGACCCTTCATGTACATATATCGTATTTGTGATATATGGAATTACGTAATATATGTTAGTTTATTAACCATCTTATTATTCTTCCTTCGAAATGGAGTTTTGTAAATATTTTTTCTTCATATATCTTGTTTGCGCACAAATTCAATATTACAAATTGATGCACTTTTATACAACTTGTCATTTTTAATTTATTGTGGATCATATGGATGGATTTATGTGAGTACGACTTAGGTCTTAATCATTCGTATTCTTTACAGATTTTCATAATCAATGGTCAAGTGAGAGTGGTCATGGTATGATTATAGAAAAAAAAAATCATTGTTTAGTTGTCACATCTAAGTGCATCCACATTGGCGAATTTATTAATGGTGGAGTTAAAAGAGATGATAAGTCTAATTGTTATTCTATAGATGAAACTCGAATATTGTGAGGTGATGCATTGTTAATAGATTTGGAGTTTTATTACCATTAAACTCTTTGATGGGAAATATGAAAATTTTCTATTTTTTAAATTAATACTACAAATTAGCTTTTATAATATTCTATTTAATTTTGTAGAGTTCATTGCGTTGAAGAAAAAAAATTGATAGAATTGTTAGGAATGTAGAAAGATGATGTGTAAGAACATAATCATCCCTTTAATTGTTAATGTATATTTGTTAGATTGTAGTTTGTCAGGCTCATATTCTTTGCAATCAGGTCATGCCTTTGTAATATGTTTTGTTATATATAGTGATTTAATGAGAAGATTATTTTCATGGGAAATAACAAAGTTTACATGATATCAGAGCACTCCTGATTTTCCTCACCCTAGACGCCGCTTCTTCCTTTCTGGCTCAAAACCCTTCTCATCTTCTAAGTGTTGTTGATCTCCCTTCTCTTCTTCCCTCTTCTCGTTTGTTGAACCATGGTGCAATCATCAACACCCAATCCCAATGTCACTTCAGAGAAACCTTATGGCATATCTAATATCAAAGCCTCAATACCCATTGTTCTTGATCTAGAAAAACTTAACTATGATGCATGGAGAAAATTTTTTCAGACTCACTGCATCGGTTTTGGACTGGTTGATAATCTAAATGCTCCAACTGTTGTCATAGAGGAAAGGGGGATGATTGATTCTATCATACAAATGTGGATGTTTTGGACTATATCTAAACTATTACTTCAGACGATCCTCAAGACCAAGGTTTTGAAAACCAGACCGGAGACCGAACTGACCATCCAACTGGTTTAATAGTTCAACTGGTCCAACTAGTCTCAAATAACCAGAAAAATCTGATGATTTTTTAGTCAAATTGTTATTAATTTTAATTATATAAAATACAAAAAGTAGTTTATGTTAGTAAAAGATAACAAGTATGTGATAAATAAAACAATAACAAAGGTTGGGAAACCAGTTATGTATATATGATCATATATAATGAAAACTATAATAAGGGTTTGTTAAACAAACCACCCATCACTTTCTCCTCATCATATTTCTATTTTATTTCTCTCAACTTTTCTTCTTCTTTGTGTCCACATACATCTTTCTTCTTCATACTCATAAATAGATACATAGAAATAACTAAAGAATGTGAATCTGGTGCAACACATGGTGATGTTTGTTCCGTTTCTTTTGATGGATACTATTTTGTAACAATTGGACCGGGTGTAGTTGGTCGGAAAATCAAGATTTCGGCGAATCGGAAACTTGGTCTCTGGTTGAATTGGATGGTCTCTGGTTGAATTGGACGGTCCAGTCCGGTTTTCAAAACAGTGTTGATGAAACAATGCTCTACTCATGACATGTGGCAAGACCTTGAAGACCTCAAGCATTTAGTTAAACAATAATAACAATGTTGTCAAGAAATAAATAGTTAATAATACCTCTATGAAGGCATTGGTAATCATCCCTGCAGCAGAAAATGGATCTAACTGAATCATATATTTGGCCTTGGGTTGCCACCTTTCATACTGGAAACTCAATGTTTTCCGATTGTTTCAAGAGCTTTTTGTGGGGCCATAGAAAATGGATCTGAAATCAAATACATTTAAATATAAACATCTGAAGCACTATATAACTAAAACAAAACTGACAGCCTTGAAGAAGAAATAGATGTGTTAATAGTGAGAAAGAGAATGTGAATGTCATAAACTCATAACTATACCTATCCAAAACTCCATTTTGGCACAAGGTGAAATCTTTATTTCATCGGGTGGGTCCATGCTGATATTCAAACATAGAAAAAGAGCAACACATCCAGATTTCATCTGCAGTTATTAAAAAACATCATTTCAGAGCTAACTATAAAGAAATACACTAGCAATAACCACCCAACACTAACATATCATTTGTTTTCAAATGCATAGTTGTATTAGCAATGAATTATCACTGCTACAAGAACAACATGATAAGATTTGTATATCATAGCAACAACAATATGCTGTTGGGTTTGGCATATAGCAACAACAGCCTCCAGCAAATCTCTAAAGCGAACTACTTTGATAACCATGTGAAATCTAACTAATAAAACTAAATCACCCACTACAAGCTTTTTGATTAATAACTGTTGGTGCAAGACACTCAGGCATGGCAAAATACAGCTTCATGTCGCAAGCATACATGATAACAGGTCACCCTACTCATCTAATCAGTATTAGTGGGAAACTAATAGGTAAGACAGATGCAAGAATACATCTTGTCTGATAGTAGATTATCTCATAAGCATATAAAATGCAAAAGGAAATCGAAATTGATAAATGAGTAAATGTAGGAAACAATAGATTACCCGGTCCTTAGGCCGCCATTTGGAGACCAACCCACTTAACCCTCAATTAGTTAGGTATGCTAAATTACTTAATTAGTTGGGTATGCTAAATAACTTAATGAGATTAACATTAATGAGATTAACTTAATGAAATTACATATGAAACTAACTAACTTAATGAAAGATAATGTTTTACATAAACAAAAATAGATTACCAGTAATGAAAACAAACATTTAACCCTGAATTAGTTGGGTATGTTAAATAACTTAATGAAATTACATATGAAACTAGGTTACATGCTCTATAGGTTTTTTCTTTTTTCTCTCACGATCATAAATTATAAAAGTAACATCTCATATGCATTTATTCAAACAGGTTACCTGCTCTCATGGTTCACGAGTGAACAGATAAAAAATTTCCAAATTCACCTTTTTTGTGCTCAAATCATTTGTCTATGGAGAGTGATTTCAATCAGGTGAATCAAGTAATTCTCATGAACATTAATAATAAACTTTTCTAATTTCTTCAGATACAACACAAAGGGATGAACTCACATGGAGTCGTGAGCTTTGGCGAATCGGATCTGATTAGGGAACCATGGGAAGGCAAGAAATAGGCGATGTAGAGAACATTGGTCAGCAGAGTAAGTCAACGACTGAGAATGAGTTGTAGTGGTGTTGTTGAGGTGTGTCAAGATCATGATAAACATACCTTAATCAACCCTAGGGCTTGGAAACTTGAGCAGTCGTTCTAGTCTCCGGTGAGGTGAGGTGAGCCTAACATCTCCGGTGGAAAGAGGTGAGCTAAGGTCGCTTGCAGGTGAGGAAAGCCAAGGTAGAGAACGTTTCAGAGAGCACTCCATGAAAAAAGCCCTAGATAATGGTCCTATTGGTTTTTTTATAAGATAAATAGTCTGTTCAATGAAGACGAGGGTTAGAAGACAACGTTGAATGAATTTTTCAATAGTGAGGGCAAGAAAGTTTATCGAACAAACCATACCGTTTCATCCTCCTCATGTGAGCTTTGCATTTGAATATTCTTCGTGGATCTTTGTCCTCAAGAGTTAGAAGCATTATCGCAGCATTATAGATTTTGTTGAGTCGTTCCTTTTCAACTATGCATCGTAGATTGTATTCTCCGTTCAATTTCAACTTTGTGTCTAGTCTTTCCTTTTCATTTGAGCGTCGATAATTAGGGCAAGAGGAAAGGAGTAAAAAGGATGGCGGGGTTTTTTAATTTTTTAGGATTTCATTCCATTAAAAATTATAAAGCGACATCCATAGACGACGCATATTTTATTATAGGTGTCGTCCGTTTTTTTTTTTTTTTTTTTTTTGGATTAGACTCTAATTTAAGCGCACTCAATAATGCGCGACCTAAATTCTTAAATTATTTGAAGAGTTGACACTTTTTTAATGTCGCTCTCTAATGCGTAACATAAATCAAAGAGCATCGTGTTTTGCGCGTCGTAAAAGGGTCTTTTTCTTGTAGCTAGCTCTCTCTCTCTCTATATATATATATATATATATATATATATATATATATATATATATATATATATATATATATATATACACTAATTGTTTCAAAATAATCTACAGGTGAATTATGAAGACTTTTGTGAAATTGCTTCTCTATGTATAGAAAAGCCCATGGTGACATTTTATGATATAAATTTATACAAATCTCCAGTATACGTATAACTTTTAATAAAAAAACATATTATTTACAATGTATAGGTTTCTTATATGTTTGACACGTAATTTTCCATCCCTGATATCATTGAACATGAATGAATAAATACTCAATACAGTGGGCCGTAGGCCAATATACAAGATCATTACAAACGGGCTAGTTTTCTTTCCAAATATAAAGCATTACACAAGAATATATATATATATATATATATATATATATATATATATATATATCCACACACACACACTATTACCCCCCCCCCCCCCCCCGTAGTTTGATTGATAGTTAATGTCCAAACACTCAAACTGTTCCTGAAATCCATGAAGAGAGAATAAGGCAGTCCTTTAGTGAAGATGTCGGCATATTGAAGACTCGAAGGGATGTGCAGGACACGGATTTCACCAGTGGCAACTTTGTCTCTAACAAAGTGAAT